AACTTGAGTTGAGCCCTCTTAACACCTCTGTGGTCTCCCTCTTTCCTGGACAGTAATTTCTAGCAAAGTCAGGCAGTTTCTCATAAGATAGTGCCAGACTTATTTTGGGGAGCCGTTTATAAACCTCATATAATTTGATATGGATAAACCTAAGTCCTGAAGCACATACCCCAAGTCCCAACAATATCAGTAGATGACAAAAAGATGTGTTTTGTAAGTGGAAAAAGTACAAAAATGGCCCGAGTCACATAAGAAGGAAAGCTTGATATCAAGTACAGTCAGTGAGTACAGCTTCGACCACTTTCAAAGTGGAGTGTTCAGAATACTCAGGTAACGGTCCTCCCTTTTTCTGCGATAATCAGACCACCCAGAATATTACATTCAGGTCTGGGCACAACAAAGAAACACTTAAGGGTTTTTCCTATCAACTTGAGACCATGATTCTGGTACATACAAAATACACAATGTGTCTAACACTTGTTTCATAAACGTGTTCTAGCTTTCTTTATGGATAAGTAGTTTGAGGAAGAGATTTACAGTTCTGCCCGGCCAGAGTCATGGGTATGATTTTTAGCTGGACTATCGAGTCCTGCCCTTTCTCTGCCATATATCTCCTCCTGATTTGGCTAGCTGTCTCACAACTGAGTGGCCTTAAGGACAAGGTGAAGTCCAGGGAAACACTGCAAATGTACAAGGAAATACCCATCCCAACTCCAGAAAAAAAAACATTCATTAGTGAGATTATTTGAAAATGAGAACTTTTCACTCATCCCTTCAACATGATCTTGTTACATAGACATCTGTGGATGAGAGGAGGGCAGAAGTAGAGAAGGGTGGAGGGAAAAAAAGGAAAAGGATGAAGAAAATGAAGAAAATGTTCCTGAAATAATGTGACAAAATTGCTTACTGTGGGAATTTTTATTGCCAGAGAGTGAGAACATAGAAACAAAATGTCAGCTTGGAATGAAGAGTCCTTTCCCCAGTGGTTATACTGTGGAAAGAAGGTGGATTACAGTATTTTGCAAACAGATGGAGTTAAATGAAAGAAAAAATACAAATGACTGCTTAAAGAGGAAACTTATTTACCTCATGGGAGATTCAACATTGCGTCAGTGGATTTACTACTTACAAAATGCGGTGAAAAGTATGCATTTTATACTTTATTTTAAAACTGTAGTTGCCTTTAGAGCTTTTTTTTTTAATGATAATTAGAATTCTTTGCTTTCCTTTTCTGATACCTGTTTTATTATTTTTTAAAATTTGCCAAATATTTGGACTTGGGCTTTTAATAAACAGTTAAATTTTATTTTTTCATTCACAAATATTAATGTTTCTTCCTCTTTCTATCTGCTGATAAGAAGTTCAGAATTTTGTTAAGATTTTTAATGCACCTGGCAATGTTCTTTTCCTCCCATAGGCAGCAATTCCCTTATAGTTAGAAGTGATCTTGGTTAGAGTTTTACAGATGTGTGTATTTAAAAATTGTATCGTTTTTCTTTTGTTAAAAGGTTTATTGATTTGTTTTGTTTCAGCCTTAAAAGTTTTTGATCATCATGGAGTTGGAGTCTTTAAAACACACGTGCTTCTGGATGCTGAAAGACATACTTTGATTCAGTGGAAAAAGCATAGTCATCCATTTGTTACCCAACAGCTGTTCTCAGTGAAAGATGAAAATTACATCCCACGGGAAATCGACCAGATAGCGGGAGACGATGGCACAGTCATTGTCATTACCCTCGGTCAGCATTTCAGACCCTTTCCCATCAAAATTTTTATCCGTAGGGCCATCAATATTCAAAAGGCCATTGAACGTCTGTTCTTGCGAAGCCCAAAGACCAAGGTGATCCTTAAAACTGAAAACACCAGGGAGATGTATCTAAATGCAGAGCTGTTCAGTGACTTTCATGGTCATATTCAGAATCTTATCATGAGGGGTATTTTTGAGGGTCTCAATGTGGGCGTCATTGACGCCTGGGACATGACTATTGCATATGACACTAGAAATGTCCACCCACCTGATTACGTGATTGGAAATCAGATTAACATGTTCTTAAACTACATTTGCTAGAGGATAAATACAGAAAAGCGGTACCAGCCATTCTCTCTAAATGACCTCACTTACACTACAAGGATAGTTTAATGCAGTCCAAAGTAGGAGGAAACAAAAAATTTTTAAATTATTGTTAAAATATACATAATAAAATTTACCATTTAAACCACTTTTAAGTGTGCAACTCAGTAGTCCAGTTAACTACATTCACAACATTATGCAACTACCAACATGATCTATCCCTATAATTTTTCATCACCCCAAACAGAAACGTATCCATTAAACAACAATTCTCCATTTCCCTTACCCCTAGCCCCTGGCAACCGTCATTCTACTTTCTGTCTCTATGAATTAGACCATTCCAGGTAATTCATATAAGTGGGATTATGTAGTGTGTGTCTTTTGTACTGTCTTATTTCACTATTTCATTATTTCATCACATAATGTCTTTAAGGTTCATTCATGTTGTAGCGTATGTCAGAATTTCCTTCCTTTTTAAAAGGCTGAATAATATTCCGTTGTATGTATGTATCACATTTTGTTATCCATTCATCTGTTGATGGGTACTTGGGTTATTTCCATCTTTTGGATATTGTGAGTAATGCTGCTATGAAGAGGAAGCCAAATTTAAAGAGAATAAAGGGAATTATGGAGAAACTAGACCAGCTGATGCCACCCAGACCCTTCTCCAACATCACCACCACCATCAGCGCCAAACACAGCAGAGGCACCATCCTCAACCCTCAAGACACATACTGCAGGGGGGACCAGCTAGACGTCCTGCTGAAAGTGAAGGACCACTTGGGACGCAGGAAGCAATATGGCGGGGATTTCCTGAGGGCCAGGATGTCCTCCCCAGCCCTGAAGGTAGGCGCTTCGGGAAAGGTGAGTATGATGACAGTACAGGAAAACATCATCATTCATAGTTTAATTTTAAGAAATGTATGTCCTGGAAAGGGGGAATCTAAATGATTCAAGTATAGAGAAAATGGGAAGTGTAGGAGAAAACCTAGCGGAATCATAATAGCAAACTTTTTTGCTTAAGGGAATTCTTTGAAATGTGGAAACCAGTTGTTCTCTCGACTGCAGTAAGAAGCAGGGATCACAGCCCCACATCCACAAACTCATTGAGAGAAACAAGCTAAACATTCTGTCAAGGTCCAGGTCCTATAACCTCAGTTCTTGCTGACCCTAAGAGTATGAGGTGAGGTCCCCTCCAGAGGAACTCAAATGACTTTATATGCTTTGTCTCTAAATTGTCCTCTCAGAATTAAAGTACCCTCCCTTTGCATTAATATAGTTGAGGTCCCAAGGGTGGAAATATGGTTGATTAAGGATGATTTCTTGGTTTGGAATATGTTTCTTAGGGAGAGGAAGTGAAGTACAGAGGTCAAGGCATACAGCTTAAGACCAGGCTCTTCTAAATAAAGGAACACACATTAGAAATCTTTTCCTTTTATGAAGCTACAAATTGGTTCTAATTCTTTGCATAGGAATCTTTCAAAATAAATCTCATTATTCTTTCAATCATTGCACTCTTAAATGCTCACATGAGTTATCATTTTTCCACCAAAGTTACCTTAGTTTCCTTTAACCTAATTCTAAGATGATAAAGTTTCTAGTTTTGTTACCATTACTCTTCTCTGATTGCACTGAAGTGTGTCTGTATCATTCTGCAGCATGACTTCTACCCCATCTCTTACCTCAACAAATTGAATGTCCTAATTTAAATGTGATCAATCAGCATAGAATAATGAAGTTCTATTACATCTCTTGTTCTAAGGCTGCACTGTACAATATTATAGCCATTAGTCACATGTGGCTGTTTAAATTAAAATCAATTCCTTGGTTATACTAATCACATTTCAAGCGTTCAGTAGCCACATGTGGCTAGTGGCACTGTACTGACAGTACAATATTTGCTTTCATTTGTTTCTGGAGAGTATTTTTTAAAAATGTTTTGTTGTAATATTTTTGATGTGTTTTTAAAAATAAGCCTAATGATATTTTATAATCTTTATGGTGAGTAAAAAAAAATCATTGAATGTTGCTAAGTGTCAGATTCAACTTTTAAGCCATTTTCTATTGGTCAGTCTTTTAAAGAAATCCTGGTATCTATATATTTAATAACGTCCTGGTCTTCATGTGATAGCCTCAGGTTACTGCAGATACTGATTATGTCGCTAATATATGACTTGAACAAGCCATTTGAAATGGTAAAGATGCTCTTTACTGGTATTATCAAGCCTCTTTCAAAAACCTTTGTGTGCACAGT